AACAAGCTGCTGTCCATTGCGAAACTGCTTGCTTGGTATATGTGGAAACAACCTCCATGTGCCTAGAGTCACAGAGATATTCTATGTTGCCTAGAGAGTACAGACTAGGATGAAGGACATTTTGGTTTTGGTTTCCTTACAGACTCAAATTGAAATACCCTGTTAGAAGCCAGGTATGGTGGCTCAGGCCTTTAATCCCAGCACTTTAGGAGGCTGAGGAAAGAGAATTACAAATTGGAGCCCAGCCTGAGCAATTTAGTAATTTAGCAACACCCTACCTCAAAATTTTATCTTAAATAAAAAAGGATTAGGAGCCAGGCATGGTGGCACACGCCTGTAATCCCAGCACTCTGGAGGCTGAGGCAGGAGGATGGCTGTGAGAGACCCTGTCTCAAAAAAAACCAAACAAACAAACAAACAAAAAAAAGGCTTAGGAATATAGCTCAATGCGAAGGCCCTGGGTTTAATCACCAATGAGAAAGAGAAAGACAGAGATGGGGGAGAGAGAGAAACAGACTCAGAGACAGAGAGAGACTGAGAGAACCAGAGAGTAGACAGGGAAGAGGTAGCCCTTCAGAGGGGAGGGGTGGCTATGAAAGAATCAGGACCAACAGTGAAAGCTAGGTGCTCCTGGAGAGAGGAAGACAGGATTCTACATCAGACCTATCTCTTAGATTCTTTTCCCAAAGAGGTGGAAAAGTGGTAATTGTAGACTGCAGAGAAACTGAGAAACAGTAGCTTTTCGGTCCAGAAAGTCTTTCCTTTTTCTGTTAGAAGCATCTCCCCTCTTTTCTCTCCCCCCCCACCTCTTTTTGAGACTGGATCTTGCTATATAATTCAGGCTAGGCTTGAACTCACTATGTAGCCCAGGCCTGCCTCAAACTCATATCAGTCCTCCTGCCTCAGCCTCCTGAGCGCTGGGATTACAGGCATTCGCCACCACACCTAGCAGATTTTCCTGTCTCAGTTATCTTCAATCCTGATTAAGTCAAGGTGAAATCCTAGTAAATCTTTAACATCTAATAATCTCCTTGGGGATCCCCCCTTCACCCCACAAGTCCACAAGTCCTGAGTGTAGAACCTTAGACAGAAGACAATACCAAGCTAGACACGTTACTTTATTTTGCTTCAAATTTGTCTAGGAATGAGTAACTCCTACATAAAAATGCATGTTTCTGTTTTCATCTATATAAGTAAAAGTGAGATTCCTTCTGAAATAAATACTTGAGAGGGGGAAAGTGAGTTGATTTAGGAAAAAAAAACCACATTCATTAAGTACAATACAGGAGATATGCAGATGTGACAAGAATCATGCAGGTAGCACAAGAACAGCTGAAGTCTGGGAAACATGCAGGAATAAAAATAAAATTTGGGGCTGGGGATTTAGCTCAGTGGTTCCACCACCTGCCTTGCAAGCACAAGGACCAGAGTTGGATCCCTGGTACCAAAAAATAAAAATAAAAAATAAAATAAAATAAATAATGGGATTAGATCTCTTATGAAAAGAGGAAATAGAGTTCCCCCACTAGCCACCAAGCCTGCTGGCAACTTGATCTTGGACCTCTTAGCCTCCAGACTAGGAGAAATAAATCTCTATTGTTTATAAGCCACTCCGCCCACAGTTTTCTGTTCTGTAGCCAGAAAAGACTCAGATAATCCCTGTGGTAAATCTTTCCAGCTTGGTCCATGGGTGAATGATTTCCTCACCACACCCTGCAGACCCAAGTGAGAGGTCCTTCATCCGCTGGCATTCTGGCTTCGGTTTTTCTTCTTGGAGGATTTATTTATTTATTGTACCAGGGATTGAACTCGAGTCCTTGAGCTTGCAAAGCAGGTGCCGGGGCCATTGCGCTAAATCCCCGGCCCTTAGGATTTTTTTGTTTTGATTGAGGGAAGGCTGCCCTTTTCCACACTGTGCTAGAGGGAACATGCTGATGATAAATGTGAGACAAAAGCAGGAGAAACAAACACGGTACCTTCCACACCCCCCACCTTTGTGAGTCTTGTGCTTTGGCTTTGGTGTAGAGAAATCGTGTAGCCAGTAGAGAAACTCCACTATCACCAAAGCCCCATTTTCCAGCCCCGAGAGCATGGTATTTAATCAAAGGACATCAAGAGTCTAAAACTCTGCTCTCTAAATTCTGAATTTTGGCCATAAGGCAGATGTCAAGGTCACACTGAGTGAGATAATAAAAGCTCTGTAAAGCAGAAAATGAAGGCAGAGAACCCAGAGCTTTGCACATTAGCTAGGGACGTGCTCTACCACTGAGCAATATCCCTAGCCCTAGAAAGTCTTTTAAGCGTGGCATGGCGGCGCATGCCTGTGATCCCAGCACTTGGGAGGCTGAGGCAGGAGGATCTCTGTGAGTTTGAGACCAGCCTGGGCTACATAGTGAGTTCCAGGTCAGTCTCAACTACATAGTGAGATCCTGGCAAAAACAAACAAACAAAAAGGAGTCTTTTAGTGTCATCTGGCACAGCGAGAAGTCCTGTCCCTGCTTAGTCCAGGCACTTTTAGTAGTGGCAATGGCCACCAGCAATCAGAAGGGAAGAAAGCACTTCATGACCTCAGAGCTTACTGTGTCCCATGAAGGGCCTGGTCCTGGCTTCTATGTGGGACCTGAGCAGAGTGTAATAGTGTAAGGGAAAACTGAACCTGATCCCAGCTCTGTTGAGACCAGCGAACCCACTAAACCTGTCTGCACCTCTCCACCCCGTGATTGGGGTGGCAGGAGGCTCAAAGCAAATTAGTAGATCAGGGGAGAAAGCAACTCGCCCCTCTGCTCAAGGCTATGTGAGAAACTAGATGTGAATCTCAAGGTGTTAGAAGCAAGCTGTGGTTCTGTCATTGCAGCTCTGGTTATAATCACCCTTGCACCCTTCAAATTTCCTCACATGTTACTTTAATTCTTTGAGCAACTCTGAGGGGAAGATCAGAAAGGGATTTACGAAGGAGTAGTCAAGTATAGTGTCCAAGGCTCCTGGCTGCCCTGTGTGCCAGGGCCTTCTGCTCAAGCCAGCCCAGCCGTTCTGCATAAACATCTTCAAAATCATTGCTGATGTCGCTGGGGGTCCTTCTACAGCAGAACTGCTAGGGAAATAAAGGGAGATGGAGGGAGACATGTAAACCAGTAGACTTAAGGCCTGCTAACTGGTGAAAGGTATGAGTTCTTTCTGGAGTGATAAAAACACTCCAAAATTAGATCACAGTGGTGGTTTCACAACTCTGGGAATATGCTAAAAAGCATCTGTTTGTACAGTTTAAATCGGTGAGTTTTACAGTATATAAATTGTATCTGGGGGCTGGGGATTTAGCTTAGTGGTTCCACTGCCTGCCTCGCAAGCGCAAGGACCTGAATTTGATCCCCAGTACCAAAACAAAACAAAACAAAACAAAAAAACAAACAAAAAAATTGTACCTGAACAAAGCTGTTTTTAAAAAGGCATACTAATTTTTAAAAACTGGGCAAGACTAAGCTGGTGTGGTGACACATGCCTGTGTCACCCAGCAATTCTGTGAGGCTGAGGCAGGAGGATTTCACCTTCAAGCCCAGACTGGGCAATTTAGTAGGACTCTGTCTCAAAATAAAATTTTATAATAGGACCGGGATTGTAGCTCAGCAATAGAGTACTTGCCTCACATGCACAAAGCAGGCTGTTTGTATCACTGAAAGCTCTAAAAGCACTAAAAGCTCTATCACTGCTCTAGAAAAGGGCATGGAAATGGTTAGTGGGAACGTCAGGATTGCTTTCAGCAGAGGGAGGGCTCTGTGGTTGGGCCCATGAAGGAGATTTTGAGGTTTATTTCTTGACCTAAATGGTAGTTACAAGGGTATTTAAGGTTCACATTATTTTGTGTAGCTTTTTGCATCTGTTATATAGTAAAATAGTCTTTTTTAAGAACAGAAGAAATCAAGTATGAAATACCCTGTGCCAAACCACCACGGCCCCCTGCACCTTCACGCCTTCGTGTTGTGCCCACCCCTTGAGTGTGGGTGTGACCTGTGACTTGCTTCTAATCTACAGATCAGGACAAAGGCAATGGGATGCACGCCATCAGGTGTCTATGTGACCATCACAAACAATTTCATGTCTGACTTGCTAGGCAACTCTTTCTCCCTTGTTGGCTTTGAGGATGCAAACAGCTGTGCTGCAGAAGCCCTTGGGATAAAGAGCTGAGAATAGGCTCCAGCAGCAGCCAGCAAGACACCGAGGCTCTCTACCCTGCAGCCCACAGAGCGCTGCCAACACCCGAGCCTGGGAGCAGATCCTTCCCTGCTTGAGCCTCTGATGGATGACTCCACCGTGACCCAGCAGATGGGTCAGTTGCAGCTTGTGAGAGGCAGATTGTAAACTATGCCCTGACTTCCTGAGCCACAGACACTGAGATGATAAGTGTGTGTTTTGATAAGTAAGCCACGTTCTTTATATTTGGGGGTCCCTAAGGCCACCCCCAGGTTTTATGACTCGCTGAACACACAGTCAGTCTTTATTACAGTGAAAGGCCACAGAATAAAATCAGTCACAGAGCAGAGCCCGAGGTGACCCTGCCCCAGGGGAGTCCTGAGGACAGGGTTTCCTTCTCCCAGCAGTGGAGTACTGCCAAGGAGGGGACTCTCCCAGGCTGCAGTGTCCTGGGCTTTATTGGGGTCAGTCATTTTGACGCAGCTCAGGGCCCACAGGCTCACTGAATGTCCCACCTCTGCTGAGGTTAAGGCCCAAAGCCCCCAGGTAAACAAGGTCACTCTAAGCAGGCCAGATCTTCCCAGGGCTTAGAATTCATCTCCCAGGAGCCAGTCAGAAGCTAGTGTTTTTGAAATGTGTGGGCTTCGAGGACCTCAAACCTGCTCAGTTAATGTGGCACCACACAAAAGGATTAACTTCAAACTCAGGATCTTAGCTGGGTGTGGTGGCGCACGCCTGTGATCCCAGCACTCAGGAGGCTGAAACAGGAGGAAAGCCACAAGTTTGAGGCCAGCCTGGGCTACACAGTGAGTTCAAGGCCAGCCTGAATTACATAGTGAGACCCTGTCTCAAAAAAACAAAAACCAAAAGCAGGATCTTAAGTCAAACTGCCAACCTGCTTGAATATAGAGATAGAGACCAGAAAAACACAGTTTTAACCCATGGGGGATCTTTATACTCTTGCTTGCTTTATGATCAGGGAGTTTCCCCACCTTAAGCCAAACAGCCAGAAGGCAGGGTGCAGGGGAGAGGAAGCCGAGACCTCACATTCATATATAAGGCTCTCCTGACTGGCCACTGAGTAGAAAGCAAGCTTCCCCTCCTCCAGGTCCAGCCAGATGCCCACCACCCCCGGTCTGTCTGATCCAAGGACAGTTTCCTTGGCCATGGTCCATGCAGAGAGCTTGCCAGTCCCCTTCCATTCAATACACCAGGAGTCCATAGTCCTTCCCAACATCTGGTTCCGGGCCATGGTCCAGGAAGCCACCCCAATTGCCCAGTCATTGCAGTACTGAGTGTCTACTTCCCAGTACTGCCGCCCAGAGGACAGGGCCTGGGAGCATAACACTTGGCTGGCTGAAAACCTCTGGGGACTCCAGGGATAGTTCTGTTGGCCATGAGACACTGTCACTGTGCGGCAATCCTTAGATACCTCCAGGCTACAGGACAGGCTTCCGAGATCAAAGGTTGGTGTGATGGCCCCTGGGGAGGAGAAAACACCACCACAAGAACACAGCCAAGTTAGCTTTTCATCATTTCTGCTAACAGGTCCCTCAACAGCAAGTGCAACATTATATCTTTTGGTGTTTTACGTCAACTTGCAATTTTCTACACACCCACTTTATGCTGCTGTAGCAACAATACCTCACTCCTGCCTTATATTGTACTTTTTGGGGGTTTTTTTTCTGACTCAGCCTCCTGAGTGCTGGAATTACAGGCGTGCACCACCACACCCAGCTCTATTTTACTTTTCTATCTTTCAGGATACTCTCTCTGAATCCCACCCAGCACAGTCACCTCTTGCTTTCTTAATACCCCTGTGCTTTCTGCGTAGGACCACAGCTGTCTGTATCTCTCCAGTGAAACTTCAGCTTTCTGGTAAAGGTCCATATCTTACACATTTTGTATATTTTATATTGTTTCCTTTAGGAAAAAAACAAAAACAGTGCTGGGGATCAACCCAGAGCCTCATGGATGCTAAGCAAGCACAGATCCCTGAGCTGCACCCCAGCCCATCATGCATCCCAAGAGTAAATCAATGCTTGCTGACATTTGTGTACTGCGAGTACTGCAGGCACTTTACAGGCACCCCTGTGACCCTTCCCACCAGAGAAGTACTGCTACCATCTCCACTTTACAGGTGAGGGAACCTCGGCTCTAAGAGGCTTAGAAACTCATCCCAGTTCATACAGATAATGAGCAGAGCTGCTGGGAGTCAGCCCTACGGCTCCAGGATCCACGGGATGCAGATGAGGAAACAGGCACCTGGCTGTGACTGGTGGCCCAGGCGTGAATTGTCTGGGTCACAGGCTGTCTGGGATCTGAGCGCTCGTGGGTGTAGCTGAGCATGGCATTTGGGGAATCTCAACCTTCTTGGCCTTTGGACTGAGCTCCATATATGGAGGAACCCGGTCTGGGAAGCAAATCCGTGGCTCTGCACCAGGGAAATGGGCACAGCAGGTTCTTGCAGCTCCTCTCCGCAGTGGGCCAAACGCAAGGTTGTTTTGTTTTTTGTTTTTTGTTTTTTGTTTTTTTTGGTACCGGGGATTGAACTCAGGTCCTTGCGCTTGCAAGGCAGGCCACCAAACCGCTGAGCTAAATCCCCGGCCAAACACAAGTTTTAAGTGGACCACGTACTTACACTGAGCAAAGTAGGAGGTCCTCTTGGGTTCAAGGCAGCTCTGATCAGGCCGTGGGCATGAGGAGGAAGATGGGGCTTCTGGGAGGTCCACAAAGGAATTTTAAAAAACAAAACAAGGAGGAGAAATCCCATCAGTAAAAGCCAAATGAAGGTGTCCGGATACCATGATCCAGGCTCCTGGCTCACCTCCCTCACCATCAGCACATACATACATACATTTCTGAGCATCAGGACTCCATCAGACAGTACTCGTGAAGGAACACCCAGCCCGTTCTCACTGCGCACGTTTCACTGTCTGATCCCTCACTACACCCTAAGCTCCTCACCCAAGGGAATTTCACTTAACCTTTTTTTTTTTCTCTTTGGTACCAGCGATCAAACTCTGGTCCTTGCGCTTGCGAGGCAGGCGGTGGAACCACTGAGCTAAATCCCTGACCCTTCACTCATCTTCATGTTCTTAGCACCAAGGCTCACAGGAGCCCCATATCTAGAAAGAGTCTGATGCCTGTTTATCAAACAAATTAACTAATAGAGTTACAGGGATGGCAGCACTCTGACACCCAGAATATTCATGACCCGCGTGTGAACCTTTTAACTCCCCTGTACGATGAGTGGTATGATTCATCTCAACTGCCAACGCTTCCTACCTCCCTCTGCACACACCAAGTTGAAGTGTTAGCTGAGAGCACCGATCTGGGCTTGCAATGGCCATCTAGGGAGAGCAGAAAAACTGAGGGAAGCATTAGAATGTGCTGGATTGGGCTGGGGATTTAGCTCAGTGGTTCTGTGCACCCACATCACAAGGGCAAGGTCCTGAGTTCAATCCCTGGTACCAAAAAAAAAAAAAAAAGAATGTGCTGGGTAAAGATGAAACCTTCCCCCATCTGGATTGTGAAGTGACAGAGGCATAAAGTAAATCTAAGATGCAGACCAATGAGATGAAAAGCCCTGTGTAGGATATGGGCTATGACAACTTAGGGCATAAGAACAGACAAACTGCCCAGCAGAGGAGTCTCAAAAATGTAAAAAGTGGAATAGTTGCTATCAGGAGCTTAGGGGGCTAAGGGAATTCAGAGTTGTATAATGGACGCAGTTTCAATTTTGCAAGATGAAATAGTTCTGGAGATTAGTTGCATGACAATGAAAATGAAGTTACAGTTTACTGAAATGCATTTAAACATAGTTAAGATGGTAAATTTTATGTGTATTTAAAAATTTTGAAAATTCAGCCAGGATTGGTGGCACACGCCTGTAATCCCAGCATTTGGGAGGCTGAGCCAGGAGGATTGCTGCAAGTTCAAGGCGAGTATGAGCTACATAGTGAGACCCTAATCTATTTATCTGACAGGATAGTTATTTATTGCTTTTGTTTGTTTGTTGACACAGGGTCTCACTATGCAGTTCAGGCTGGCCATGAACTCACTATGTACTCCAAACTGCCCTTCAATTTGCAGCAATCCTCCTGCCTCAGCCAAGAGTGCTGGATTACAGGTGTGTGCCACCATGCCCAGCAGTTACTGTTAATAATTTACTGGTGTGTGTGTGCTTCTGGAGATCAGACCTATGACCTCATATGTTATGAAAGTGCTCTACCAGAAAGGTACAGCCTTAATCCCTTACTTTTTAAACCAATACTCACTCACTAATGCTTTTTGTCCCTTTTTTTTTTTTCTCTTTTTTGGTACTCAGGACCCTGAGCTTACGAGGCAGATGGCAGAACCACTGAGCCAAATCTCCAGCTTTTTTGTCCCTATTGATGGAAGAAATAATCTACATGTAACTGTTCACTATTTTTAACTTTTTTTTTTTTTTTTTTGAGTCAGGGTCTCACTATGTAGTCCAGGCTGGCCTTGAACTCATAATGTAGCTGAGGCTAGCCTCGAACTGGCAATGATCCTACTGCCTTGGTCTCCTGAGTACCAAACACTGGTAACTTTTTTTTGGGGGGGGGGCGGTACTGGGGATCGAACAAGGGTCCTTGTGCTTTCTAGGTAGGCGCCAAAACCACTAAGCTAAATATCCGGCCCGTCACTGGTCACTATCAAGGAGATAAAATTTTGTAATAAATTAATCTCTCTGGATCTAAACCAGATTGCTTACCCAGTATTTATGAGTTTCGTAAAATGTATGATAGGTTGCATAGAAGGAAAAAAATTAATTTAATAGGTAATTGTACCTAAATATCTGCTGCATAAAATTAGTTACTGAGACGTTTCTTTACAACAGAGTTTAAACAATTTTTTTTAACTACACAAAAAAATAAGCCACAGCTTTCATTTCTGTTTTTTGGGTTTTTTTTTTTTTGGTGCTGGGATTGAACTCAGGCAGAACCTCTGAACTAAACCCCTGGCCCCTCATTTCTGTTTTTGTTTTGTTTTGTTTTGTTTTTTGAGACGGTCTCACTACGTAGTTGAGACTGACCTGGAACTCACTATGTAGCCCAGGCTGGTCTCGAATTCACAGCAATCCTCCTGCCTCAGCCTCCCAAGTGCTGGGATTACAGGTGTGAGCCACCACGCCTGGCAGGCCTCTATATGTTGATGAGTGTTTAAATTCTGCGTCTCATAGCTGGTTTTTGAGGAAAATGCCTTTTTGGGTTTTTTCTGTTTATTTTTATGACAGGGTCTCACTATGAGTTTGAGACTGACCTGGAACTCACTATGTAGCCCAGGCTGGTCTCCAACTCACAGCGATCCTCCTGCCTCAGCCTCCTGAGTGCTGGGATTAAAGGCGTGAGCCACCACGCCCAGCCTCATTTCTGTTTTTAAAGTAACCAGGCAAGTGTGGTGGTGCAGGCCTGTAATTCCAGCACTCAGGAGGTTGAGGCAGGAGAATCACTGAGAATTCAAGTACATTTTGGGTTACATAGTGAGTTCAAGGCCAACCTGACTTACAGAGCAAGATCCTATCTCAGGGCCAGGGATTTAGCTCTGTGGTTCCGCTGCCTGCCTCAAAAGTGCAAGGTCCTGAGTTCGATTCTGGTTAGAAAAAAAAAAAAAAAAGCCCCAATTGATCAGCTACAGATATACCTCAGCCCTCTTGTACTCATTTACACCTCCACAGCAATGAAGGAGCCAGGCTCTGTGCTCCTGTCCCCAAAGAACAAAGCCATGTAGTGCTTTGTCATTTCACTCAACTTCTACACTTCCTTCTCCTTAAGTGGATCAGCTCACCCGGTGTTTGCACGTCCAAGGCCTCTTTCCATGAGCAGTTTCCAAGTAATTTTTCTTGAATTTTTTCAAGGTCATGGAGAATCTCTCTCATTTCCCCCTCAGATGTGCTGGAAGTCACCAGTGTTAGAGAAGCCAGGGAAGACAAAGGCTGTTGATGAACCACAAATAGCAAACACAAGTCTCTATCGGAGCCCCTCAAATATTATATTCAAGTTCTAACACCCATCTATAATTTTCCATTTAATTTCTAGAATATTTAAAAGAAACAAAACTAGGTTCTCAAATTGAGGCTGGTGACATAGCTCAGTGATAGTGTATGTACCTGGCATCTATCTGCAAGGCCCTGGGTCCCACCTCACCATGACTGAGAAAAATATGTACCGAATGGGGGTCCTAAAGGTTCTAATTCAATTTTCTCGCTTGCTTTTTTTTTGCTGTTGAGAATCAAACCCAGGGCCTTGTGCATTTTTGTTGTTGCTGTTTTTTGAGCCAGGGTCTCATATGTAGTTGAGACTGACCTGGAATTTGGTACGGGGTATCGAACTCAGGTCCTTGCTCTTGCAAGGCAGGCGGCAGAACCGCTGATCTAAATCCCTGGCCCCCAGCTGTTCACTTTAAAATGCTACATATGTTCAAATACTTTCCAGGCTCCTCTTTCCATGTGTACAATATGTGGATTTATTAGGTAATACATTTTTTGTTTTATGTTTTTTGGTACCAGGGATCGAACTCAGGGTATCGAACTCAGGTCCTTGCTCTTGCAAGGCAGGCGGCAGAACCGCTGATCTAAATCCCTGGCCCCCAGCTGTTCACTTTAAAATGCTACATATGTTCAAATACTTTCCAGGCTCCTCTTTCCATGTGTACAATATGTGGATTTATTAGGTAATACATTTTTTGTTTTATGTTTTTTGGTACCAGGGATCGAACTCAGGTCCTTGTGCTTGCGAGGCAGGCGGCGGAACCACTGAGCTAAATCCCCAGCCCATGGTAATGTGTATTTTAAAAAAATATTTTAGGCCCATTAAAAGGGCTTGACAATTCAAATAAACATTATGTACCTAAGCACAAGGACCCCAGTTCGATCCCCAGTACAAAAACAAACAAACAAAAAACAAACAAAAAAAGCAACATTATGTACCTGTGTTTATAAAGAAAAACAAAGCTTGACAAAACAAATACAGACAGTCAAACAGAGACAAAGCAAAACAAAACATAGAGCTGGGTGTGGTAGCAGATACCTATAATTGCTCCACTCAGAAGGCTAAAGCCAGAGGATCGCTGTAAATTCTGTGCCAGACTGGGCCACATAGTGAGGTCAAGGCTAGCCTCGACTACAGAGTGAGGCTACCTTAAAAAGTCAAAGCAGGGCCAGGGATTTAGCTCAGCGGTGCCACCGCCTGCGCAAGGACCCAAGTTCGATCCCTGGTACCAAAAAGAAAAAGTCAAACCAAAACAAAACAAAAACAAACAGCCACTAACATAAACCACAGGTTTATGTTATCTCCAAACTGGGTCACTATATGATGTCACTTCTCAAGAGGCAATGTAAAATGCTGCCTGTATCCAGCTTTGCATTCTGGGGCTTCCAATACCTGCTTCCTGACTTTCTTTAACCTCAGGTCCTGTTACTCCTCAGTACAACCTCTAATCGGGTCATCAACTTCAGCACTTGACTTTCCTTCCTATTTGTGCATAAACCACTCTTCATTCTTTTCACCAATCACTGCACCAGTACGACTATACTTGGAGAGTACTTTCCATCAGTACTTCTCATCTGTAATTTGCATACTAGGCTCCCAATAGGTGTACTATCCCCATTTTACTTCAAGAAGTTAAAGTTCTTGGAAGCACATGCTGTCCAGCACTGGGAAACAGGAAGTTTGCCTTGAGTTCAAAGAAAAAAGTTAACTTATGGCCAGGCGTGGTGGCACACACCTGTAATCCCAGCACTCGGGAGGCTGAGGCAGGAGGATCACTGCGAGGTCGGACCAGCCTGGACTACATAGTGAGTTCCAGGTCAGTCTCAACTACATAGTGAGACTCTGTCTCAAAAAAAAAAAAAAAGTTAATTTATGAAGATCAACTAAATTGCCATGCTTAATAACATCATCCTCTATATTCACAATGCCCAAGCACTTTTGTTTTGTTTTGGAGACAGGGTCTCACTATGTAGCCCAAGCTGGCTTCAAATTCACAGTGATCCTCCTACCTCAGCCTCCTGAGTGCTGGGATTACAGGCCTGTGCCACCACACTCAGGAGATTTCTTTTAAATTATCATAAAAAACCAAGGAGGTGACAGACCGTCAATCTTCACTCCTCTATCACAGATAAGAACCTGAGGCTGGGGATTTAACTCACGGTTGTACAGCCTGCCTCACAAATACAAAGTCCTGAGTTCGATTCCTCAGTACAAAAAAAAAAAAAAAAAAAAAAAAAAACAACCCTGAGGCTCAGAAGACAGATGACTCGCCCAAGGTCATAAATCCAAGGAAGTGGCAATGTCAGGTCTGGAAGTCACACACCCACAGACTTTGTATCTTAGCAGGTGGCACCTGAAAGGCCCGGGATTCACTCATTCAGTTGAGCACCTACTGTATGTGCCATGTACCAGATGAGGGCCTGGGAGTACAATGGTCAACAAAATCATCAAAGTCCCTATCCTCAGGAAGCTCGGGGCTCAGTGCAGATGAAGAAGGCAGATATCCTGCCTCGAAAGCGCAAGGGCCTGAGTTCGATCCCGAGTATCAAAAACAAAATAAAACTTCCCCCCAAAAAGAAAAGATACATTAAATCCTAAGAGCCTCTAGCAGGGGGATTCGATTTGTCACGGAAATCAGCGATCACTTCTCTCCCAGGAAAGGACAACACAGCGAGGGTGCGGAAGAGAAGCAGATTTACCTGGAGGACGGACTAAAGAAGAGAATTCTACAGGCTCCTGTAAGGACAGGAAGCAAGATCCACTGGAGAGGACCCACTGGCAGGACAGGGAGACATGGACGGGACTCCAGAGCTTTGCTGGTCCTGTGAGATTTGGGTCTTAACCCTAAGTGAACAGACATTGCTCACGTCTCCCGAAGGCCCTTGTGTAAAAGGGTTCACCCCAGGCTGCACTACTGGGGGTTGTAGAACCTCTGGGAGGTGGGGCCCCGCTCAGCACCTTTAGGTCAGGGGAAGCCAGTCCTGAAAAGGATTGTGGGGCCCCAGCCCTCCTCTTTCTCTTTTGGTCCCTGGCCATGAGGTGAGCAGTTTCACTCCACCCCTATCAGAGGCCTCAGAGCAACGCATCCACTTGATCAGGGCTAGGACCTTTTCTCTTCACAAGTTGATTGCCTTGGGTATTTGCTATAGTCATGGAAAGCTGATTAACACAGATGTCATTGGAGCGTTTCAAGCAGATGAGTTTCATGATCAGTTTTATGTCTGAGATGGTCACTCAGATGAACAGACTGGAACAGACTGGAGTGGTGCACCCACAGGCCTGTGATAGCAATGCAGGCAAGGCGTGAATGAGAGGTCTCAAAGGACCTTCAGAGTGGCAGACTGAATGATGGGGGAGGGGAGGTGCTGCGGATTGAATTTGGGCCTTGTGAGGCAGGCAGCAGAACCCCTGAGCCAAATCCCTGGCCCAGATTGAAAGATTTTTAGGCAGGCCTGGGAGCCAGTGTGCTGTCTCCTAGGGTACTGAAGGAGGCAGTGTGACTCCCAGGTCCCTGGCTTGTGCACTTGGGGCCAGAACTGAGATGGGGAACCCCAGAGGAAGTTTAGGGCGTGTTAAATGAGACTTGCTTTTGAGATATGCAAGACGAAAAGACTAGAAGAAAGTAGTCTAAAGCTCAAGATGTTTCCCACCTGAGTACATGCTTGTACCCCCCCAGCACTCTGCGAGGCTGAGGCAAGAGGATCCCAAGTTTGAGCCCAGCCTGAGCAAATCAGTGACTAAGTGAAACTGATTTTTGTTTGTTTTTGTTTAAGACAAGGTCTCACTATGCAGTTCAGAGTGGCCTTGAACTCTCTAGTTAGCCCAGCATGGCCTCAAACTCACAATGATCCTCCTGCCTCAGCCTTACAAGTGTGTGCTGCCATCTCCGGCTGTGAAGCAGTCTCAAAATAAAAAAAATTAAAAGGGGTGGATGGAGGGCCAGGGATTTAGCTCAGTGGTGCCCCCGCCTGCCCCGTACCAAAAGAAAAAAAAATGGGGACAGTAGCTTGGTGTGAAGGCCCTGGTCACAATCCCCCCGGGGATGCGCCAGCCCGGAGCTGTATTTGTGCACTGTGCCACTTACTCTTAGTTGATAATTTGACTGGATTAAGAGACTCCATTAGAGACAACTGGGTCAGGGGCTGCTATACGCATCCCACTGCCGTTCACAGGGAGCATGAGGAGGTGGGGCCCAGCCCGAGGAGCGGCTCACTCCTGAGGCTTCCATAACTCACCTTCCACGGCGAACTTGCAAGCACCCATCTGGCAGTGAAAGCCCGAGATTCACCGCGTCCTGCAGCTTTACACAGGTTCACACCGCTCCCGGGAAAGCTGCCCCGCGCCATGCCCCACCCCCCGCTTCCCATGGGGCTGCGCGCCCAGGGCTCACTTCCTCTGCGGGTCTTGATCCGGAGAGCGGTCTCAGCCTCTCCATGCTCTTGGTGATGTCTACCAGCTTCCCTACCAGCGTTGCCAGTTCCTGGACAACCTCCGCGATGCTCGTCTGCACTGGCACCTTGAAAAGAGCAAAGCTGACGCTATGATTTGGATTCGAAATGTTCCCCAAACTGGCTGGCCGATGCTTGTACTCTCAGCCCTCTGGGAGGCTGAAGCAGGAGAATCACAAGTTTGATGTCAACCTGGGCAATTTACCAGTTTAGCAAGCCCTTGTCTGGAGAAAAAGAAAAAAAATAAATTAAATAAAGGCTGGGTGTGTAGCTCAGTATGAAGGCCCCGGGTTCAATCGCCAGTAGCATAAACATACACATTTTTTAAATAGGCAAAGGATCTGAATTGATATTACTCCAAAGAAGATAAATGATGGTCAATAAATGCAGGAAAAGACACTCAACATCATTGGCCACGGGAGAAATGCAATTCAAAAGCATGGGTACCTCTGCACACCTGTACGAAGCTGCAAGGCTACGCTAAAAGCAAAACACTCTGAGCGGGCATGGTGGTGCACGCCTGTAATCCCAGCACTCGGGAGGCTGAGGCAGGTGGATCGCTGTGAGTTCAAGACCAGCCTGGGCTACCAGTGAGTTCCAGGTCAGTCTCAACTACATAGTGAGACCCTGTCTCAAAAAAACAAAAACAAAAACAAAAAAAAACCCCAAAAAGCAAAACACTGAAATAACAAGTGCTTAGGGGTTGGAGGAAAATCGGAATGCTCGGCCATTGATGGTGGAAATGTAAAAGGGTTGGAAAATAGGTTGATTCTTCCTCCACAGATCACCCATAGAATTAACCACAGGAGGGGCCGGGGATTTAAGGGTTCTGGCACCTGCCTCGCAAGCGATCGCTGGTAAAAAAAAAAAAAAAAAAAAAAAACGAAAGAAAAGAGAATTAACCACACGATATAGCAGTTCTGCTCCCAGGTACACAGGAGAGACTAAGAAATACGTGTGCGTGTAGCTCCGGGTAGAGCGTGGGTTCACACTGTGGGATCCTGGGCTCAGTCTCCCGGGGGAGGGCGAGAGGGAAGGGAGTGGGGAGGGAGGAAAGAAGGAAAGAAAAATACGGACTCAGTTGGGATGTGTTTATTTTTAGGTCCCAATGTTAGCGCAATACTTTTTTTTTTTTTGGTACCAGGGATCGAACTCGTGTCCTTGTTCTTGCAAGGCAGGTGGCGGAACCACTGAGCTAAATCCCCGGCCCGATACAGGCTCAGTTGGAAACAACTGAAAACTGAAATGTTCATCGGAGGATAAATGGATTTAAAAGTGGTAGATTGCCTGGCACGGCGCCTGCCTGTAATCTCAACTATTTAGGAGGCTAAAACGGGAGGATCAAAATTGCGAAGCCAGTCTCGGCTACCTAGTGAGATTCTTTAAAAATAAAGAAAGATGTGGATGTAGCAGAGCGACTTTTTTATACTTTTCTAACATTTCCAAAGATTCTCCTATTGATTGACTGTATTGGGGATTGAACCCACCGGGCCTGTGCAGTGAGTTACACCGCCTCTCCCAGATCTTTTTAGACTTTTTTTTGGTACCGGGAATAGAACTCAGGAACTTAACGCTTGCAAGGTAGGCGCTGGAACCACTGGGCTAAATCCCCAGCCCTCTAACTTTTATATTAGACAGTCTCACTATGTAGCCGAGCTGGGCTCCAACTCGCGATCCTCCAGCCTCAGCCTCCCAGAGTGCTGAGATTACAGGCGTGCGCCACCCACACTTCGTTTGCAGGATGGGTTTCGGTTTCGCTTAGGAAGCGGGGAGGTCGCAGCCCGAGCGGCGCAGCGGCCCGGCTCCCTACCGGCGGCGGCGCGGGTAGCG